GTTTTAACTACTCTAGTAGGTTTAGGTTGCAGATAAATTAGATAAAATTAGATAATAATTTTGTTTATAGTCTGAGTTTCATTTTTGTAAAAAATTTGTAAATTGGCTCTGGCCTGTGTCAACTCTTGTAATTGCCCAAAACAAATTAATAATAAAGATAAAAGCAAAACCTCACCTTAACACCAAAAAAAAAAAAAAACAATTTATTCTTAAAATATCATTAATAGAATCTTTTATATTTTAATTTATTAATAATTTAGTTCTAATTTTTAAAAGTTTATACAACTTTAGTATCTTTTTTTTATAACCTACTTGGTACTTTATATATTCTTATAAGCCTTTTATACTACTAATTTAATTAATTCTATATAATATAACTTTATATCTAAATTTGCTAATAACTAAATTGATAAGCCCTTTATCTAAAGTTCTTGCTTATACAAATTATCTGCTTCAGGTTTTTTTTGAATCAAAATCTTTACTGATAATATTATTAAAAATTATATTACCTTTTTACTTGAAATTTTTAAGCAAGCTTTTTATCTGAGTATATATTTTTGAATTTATTTATATAATATTAACATTTTAAAATTAATCTTAATATGATTAGAATTACCAAAATTTATACATCTTAAATTACAAATAAGTTTGTCAAAATAGAACCATTTTTCAAAATTTGGCTACTAGTAAAATTTGAATACTAAACCTATTGTTTAGAAAATAACAACCCAAGCACTATAATAAAATTACAAATAAGTTTGTCAAAATAGAACCATTTTTCAAAATTTGGCTACTAGTAAAATTTGAATACTAAACCTATTGTTTAGAAAATAACTACCCAAGCACTATAATAAAATTAACATCTAATAAACTATTTTGTAAAAATACTAATTATAATAATATATGCTAATTTCATATTAAATATTTTGTATAAAATCTTATATAAATATATAATATATTATAACTTAAAGATAAAACAATATAAACTAATTATAAAGTTACTTTTATTAGTTATTATAATTATAATTAAAAATATTAACAGATATGATAAACTAGCTAATTCAATAAACTTTAATTTTAATAATAGCAATTTAAGTTCCAAATTAGACCAGTATAGCTAAACCCAACTACTTAACATTATTATAAATAAATAATAAAAATAAAAAATAAACAATTATATTTTTACTAATAATGTTATAAGTGTGCATCAAAAATTAAAATTAGAAAATAAAAAAAGTAGTAATTTAAGAGAGATAGAGTCCTCTTGAATAATGCATAGAATGTTGTTTATAAACTGTTATAAAAATTAAACAGACACTTCTAATTATATCAATTTTGTTAATTTTACTAATTTTATTAATTTACTAAATTTTATTTTAGTGTAATTTTTTTAGTTTTACTTGCTAAAATTTTCTAATTTTATTAAAATATTTAGTTATAAAGCAATAATAAATAATAATTAACAAACAATCAAACATATTTAACTGAACTTACTAGCCAAAAATTACCATATTTATATTGTCATAACAAAGCTCTAGGTAAAATTATGTTACTCACCTCTATTGGCTATATATATCAGACCTTTTTTGTATAATATATGATTCCTGACCAGTTTTTTGCCTTTTAAATTCATTACTTACTGTTATATTATCTGGAATTTCAAAACTATTAATAGGAATAGAACCTACATTATATTGATAAATATTACATTAACAATATAATAATGAGCAATATTATAAGATATATAATTATTAATACCTTGTATATCAAGAAAGTTGTTTCTTTTTTTATATTGCTGAGCAATTTCATGTGTATTAATAATTTTATTTGTATATTGATCTTTAGAACGTTTTTTCAAATCTTTTAAATTTTTTGAAAGCTCTGAAATTTTCATGTCTGCAGTCATAAATTCACTAATTATTTGTAATTTTTTATTAAATTTATCAAGCTCATCAAATTTATCCAGCTTATTGGATTTATCAAGTTTATTAGATTCATCAAAGTCATTAGTATCAAATTCATCAAATTCATCTGGTCGACTTATAAAACTATGCCATTCAGAAAGCATATCATGAATTGTTTTGGCAGTAGGTCGTTTTTGTGGGTCTGAATTCATGCATAATTTTGCTAAGTCAATATAGCAGCTAGGAGTTTTTGAATCAAAGTCAGGTCTCTTTCCGTTGCAAATTTCTAATGCAAGCTCAACGTCAAATGAATGTTCATAAAATGGACATATTCCAGTAATCATCTCTGCCATAATAATGCCAAAACTATATATGTCAGCTGCTGGTGTATACTTTGGACCTAATAAAACTTCAGGAGCAATATAAGGCATAACTCCATAAACTTCTTTTTTTAAATTGTGTTCTTCATTCTTTCTGGATATTCCAAAATCTGTTATATAAGATTTTAACGGTCTGGCCCATGATCCTTCTCTATGCTGTAAAATATTGCGAGAATGAAGATCACAGTGAATGTATCCTGCTTCATGAATTTTAATTAAATCCTTTGAAATATCAATTAATAATGATAATTTATCTTCCCAAATAAGTTCGTCAAAATTTAATGATAGACAACTATGAAGATCTCCCCTATTAGCATATTGAAACACCATCATATATTTCTCTGTTTCTTTATTTTGGGTTAGTCCATATACTATGAGCCTGCTATTACAATGTACATGGTTTTTAAACTAAAATATAAATAAAGTTATGTAAATTTGGAATGCAATATTCTATAGAAAATAATTAAATTATAACTTTAACTTACTTCCTTCAAAAAATCATCAGAAATGTTCACATTCCCAGATAAAGTTTTAAGTGCTACCATGATAGATCGTTGGTGTATATGTTCATTTTCATTTGAAAAATTTTGTTCCCAATTGGCTAAAAATACAGTATCAAATCCTCCTTTGCCAATCTGTTTTATGATATTTAACTTATCAAATGGAATCCATTTAATTACTTTCTTATGTTCAGTAGCGTTAAGTTGAAACTCTTTAATACAATCATCAATATATTTATTACCACTTGTCCATCCCTGAATTATTTTATAAGGTTCACATGACTGACACCAATTTGTATAAGTATTATATCGATTACAATTTGCACATATATCATAAAAATAATTTCTTTTAGAAGCAAACTCATCATTATCCTTGTCATTAACTGTACTTTCTAATACTATCATATATTCACCAGTGACATGAAATTGTGTTACCCCATATGTTTTAATTGCATTGTCTTTCAATTGCATATGATTTTTAAGCTTGTAAATATAAAATATAAATTCATATTACACATCAATTTATTTAAATACGATAAACATATAAAAATGTGAATAATAATTATAATTTCAACTTACTTCTATTAAAAAATCCTGACATCTTGAAAACGCTTTAAGTTTAATTGTACATGGCAGGGTACGTGATTGTATGTATCTTCCTTTGTCACGATTAATTGTTCGTATGCCATCTAACCAAATTGCTAACAATTCAGCCCCATTTTTTTGAATATTACTTAATCTATTAAAAGGAATCCACTCAATCATATTCTCATATTCTGTGGTTTTAAGTTGAAATTCTTTAATGCAAACATCAATATCCTTACTTCCGCCTGTCCACCCTTTGACTGTTCTCCAAGGATCACATGTTTGACACCAAGCTGGAGAAGTGTTATATCGGCTACAGTATACACATTTTCCATTCTCTTCATTTCTTTTGGAATGAAATTTCTCAAATATCAGCATATATTTATTTGTAGTTGCATTTTGAGTTAGTCCATATACTTTAAGCTCGTTATCCATTATATAATCTTTAAACTTATTGAATAGTACAATTTATAAGTACACATGATAGTAATAAAAAAAATAATATGGATTCTATCTTACCACTTCAATCAGGTCTACAGAATTCTTGGAATTTTGCAATACTTTAAGATCTATTATATATGGTGACGTACGTGATTGTGTGTATTTTTCATCCCAAAAAGTCGTTCGTATGCCATCTAACCAGGTTGCCAAAAATTCATCTCCATTCATTTTAATCTTATCTAACCTATCAAAAGGAATCCACTCAATCACGTTCCTATATTCTGTTGCATTAAGTTGAAATTCTTTAATACACTCATCAATATATTTATTTCCACTTGTCCATTTTTGAGTTGTTTTCTGAGTATCACATGTTTGACACCAAGCTGGAGATGTGTTATATCGGTTACAATTTAAACACTTTCCATAAGCTTCATCTCTTTCAAAAGCAAAATCAAATACTAACATATACTCTTTAGTATTTACGTTATGAGTTATTCCATATACTTTAAGTTTACTATTATTTAAATATTTCTTAAACTTATCAAGAACATAAATAAAATGTAAGTACACAAAAATAAAGCTATATATAATAAACTAAATAAATTTTATCACCTCTTTCAACAGTTCTATTGGATTCAATATTTTAAGATCTATTATACGTGGTGGCGTACGTAATCGTGTAAATTTATCCTTGTAGTTATCATCGGAAATTGAAATTATTCGTATCCCATCTTCCCAGGTTGCTAAAAACTCAGCCCCATTCCTTCGAATATTATTTAATCTATCAAAAGGAATCCATTCAATCACATTTTCATATTCTGTGGATTTAAGTTGAAAGTCTTTAATGCAATCATCAATAATTTTATCTCCACTAGTCCATCCTTGAGCTATTTTCTGAGGGTCACATGTATGACACCAAGCTGGATATGTGTTATATTTTTTACAATGTGTACATTTTCCATTTTTATAAGTTCTTTTGGAATAAAATTTATCAAGTACTAACATATATCCATTAGTAGCCGTATCTTGAGTTAGCCCATACACTTTGAGTAGGTTACTCAACATATAGTTCTTAAACTTATTAAATATGAAAGTATAGTTTATAAACACATAAAAATATAAATGATAATAATAAAATAAATATAAATTTATCTTACCTCTTCCAAAAGATCTTTTGAATTTTGAAAATTCTGCAATGGTTTAAGTGTGATTATACATGGTGACGTACGTAATCGTTCATAATCTTTGTAGTTATAATCAGAAATTATTCGTATTCCATCTAACCAGGTTGCTAAAAACTCAACTCCATTCTTTTGAATAATATTTAATCTATTAAAAGGAATCCATTCAATTACATTCTCATATTTTGTGGCTCTAAGCTGAAACTCTTTCAGGCATTCAATAATTTCATTTCCACTTCCCAACTCTTGAGCTGCTATTTGAGGATCACACGTCTGACACCAAGCTGGAGAAGTGTTATAGTTTTTACAATGTGCACATTTTCCATTTTTATAAATTCTTTTGGAATTAAATTTATCAAATACTACCATATATCTTTTAGTAACTGTATTCTGAGTTAGTCCATATATTAGTTGGATATTCTTCGTATAGTACTCAAACTTATTAAATAGGAAAATATAATTTTTAAATACATAAAAAATGTATGATAATAAAATAAATATAGACCATATCTTACCTCTTTCAACAAATCTTTTGAGTTCTGAAAATTTTGTAATGTTTTAAGTGTAATTATATATGATTGAGTACGTGATTTTTTGTATTCGGAAATTATTCGTATTCCATCTTTCCAGGTTGCTAAATACTCATCCCCATTCTTTTGAATATTATTTAATTTATTAAAAGGAATCCATTCAATTACATTTTCATATTCCGTAGATTTAAGTTGAAATTCTTTAATAAATTCATCAATAATTTCATTTCTACTTGTCCATCCTTGAGATGTTTTCAGGGGGTCACATGTCTGACACCAAACTTTAGATGTGTTATATCGTCTACAATATATACATTTTCCATTCTCTTTATTTCTTTTAGAATGAGATTTATCATATACTAAAATATATTCTTTAGTATCTTTAGTAGTTGTATCTTGAGTTAATCCATATACTTTAAATTCTTTATTCGTTATATAATCCTTAAGCTAATTAAACAGTACAATTTATAAGTACATAAAAAATCTATGATAGTAATCAAATAAATATATATTCTATCTTACCACTTTTAACGGATCTATTGAATTCTGAGAACTTTGAAATATTTTAAGATCTATTATACATGGTGACGTACGTGATTGTATGTATCTTCCTTTGTCACGATTGATTATTCGTATTCCATCTAACCAGGTTGCTAAAAATTCAGCCCCATTCTTTTGAATATTATTTAATCTATCAAAAGGAACCCATTCAATCACATTTTCATATTTTGTGGCCTTAAGTTGAAATTCTTTAAGGAATTCATCAATAATTTTATTCCCACTTGTCAATTTTTGAGCTGTTCTCAGAGGATTACACGTCTGACACCACGCTAGAGATGTGTTATATAGTTTACAATCCACACAAGTTCCATTATCACGAACTCTTTCGAAATAAAATTTATCAAAAATTAACATATATTCATTAGCTGTATTTTGAGTTAGTCCATACACTTTTAGTTTGTTATTCTTCATACAGTTTTTAAACTTATTAAATAAGAAAGTATAATTTATGAATACGTATAAATATGCATTATAATCATAAAATAGAAATAAATTTGACCTTACCTCCTCCAACAGATTTATCGAATTCTGAGAATTTTGTAATGTTTTAAGATCTATTATACATTGTGATGTACGTGATTGTATGTATCTTCCTTTGTCACAATTGATTATTCGTATTCCATCTAACCAGGTTGCTAAAAATTTATCACCATTCTTTTGAATGTTTTCCAACCTATTAAAGGGAATCCACTCGATTACGTTCTTGTATTCTGTAGATTTAAGTTGAAGCTCTTTAATGTAATCATCAATATTATTATTTCCACTTTTTACTTTTTCAATTGTTCTTATAGGGTCACACGTCTGACACCACGCTAGAGATGTGTTATCTTGTTTACAATGTTCACATTGTCCATTATCACGAACTCTTTTGGAATGAAATTTATCAAAAACTAACATATATTCTTTAGTGGCTACATTTTGAGTTAATCCATACACTTTAAATTTATCATCCGTTATATAGATCTTAAACTGATAAATAGGAAGCACAATTTATAAGTACATAAAGATACACATAAGACCGTTTAAAGTTAATTATTAAATTAACGTCATTACCTCTCTTCAAGGTTGGAAATTGAGTTCAATGGAGCTCAATGAAGATACGAATAGAGCCGATAGAGCTCTGAATGGAGCTAATGGATACTAACATTTTGGGTTCAATTCGTATAATCACTGAACTCCATTGGCTCCATTGCCAACCTGTCTCTTGGTCAACTATCCCCCCAAAAATTAAACAAGTCAATTGCGACGCAGCATCATCTTCATTAATCATGTCATTATAATTTACCAATAGAGGCAATCAATTATCTTGTGACTAGAGATGCTATCCGTTATCCGTTTTTTGTTATAGTAACACATTCGGCAAAGTTTCCAGAAACACATTTCGGAGTTATACTATTGTGTGTTCATATGATTTTGACCAAAATTTACAATGTAATTTTGGCCCAAATCATGTGGCCACGCGGCTATTGTAACTCCGAAATGCGTTTCTGGAAACTTTGCCGGAGGTGTAGCTTGTGATGTGCCATTTATATGATACACGAATTTTTTCTAGTGATTTGATTGGCTGGTAGAAAGGATCGGCAAGAATTTCACGCGTACAGTACTAACGCACTGTACGCGGACATCACTAGGAGTAGCCTATAAACTTCCATGTAAAATTTAGAAAAACTATGCCATATCTTAACCTCATTAATAACCTAACCCTAAAGACTAGTAAACTTTTCGCTTTATTCAATTCTTTTGAAATCTGATTGGTTTGCAAACACATGTCGGAAAATCTTTTTGTGGGTGAGCTATTACGTAACAAGATGTAATAAACATTCTGATTGGCTTGCTTAATTTCAGGGGCGGTGGATGAGGAGATAGTTGAATTTCAAACCATCTAATAAAGTAAATATAGATTATATCTCACCTCTTTCAATAAGTCTATTAGATTCTGAGATCTCTGCAATGTTTTGAGTATAATTATATATGATTTTGTACGCAATTGTTTGTAACTGTATTTATTCTTGTGATCATATTCAGAAATTATCCGTATTCCATCTGGCCAGATTGCTAAAACTTCATTATCATTCCTTTGAATATTATTGAATTTATTAAAAGGTATCCACTCAATCACATTCTCATATTCCGTATTTTTAAGTTGAAATTCTTTAATGCAGTCATCAATTTCCTTATTTCCACTTGTCCATTTTGGTGCCGTTCTCCGAGGGTCACATGTCTGACACCAAGCTTTAGATGTGTTATATCGTTCACAATGTTCACATTTTCCATTCAACCAATCTCTTTTAAAATGAAATTCATCAAATATCATTATATACACGTTAGTGGCTGTGTTTTGAGTCAGTCCATATACTTTAAGTTTACTGTTCTCTATATATTTTTTAAACTTATTAAAAATATAAATAATTTATAAGTATATAGAAATAAAGCTACATATAATAAAACAAATATAAATTTATCTTACCTCTTCTAATAAGTCCATCAAATTCTGAGAACTATGCAATGTTCTAAGGTTAGTGGTGTGTGGTGGCGTACGTGATTGTGTATATGTATCTTCGCGATCAGAAATTATTCGTATACCATCTAACCAAGTTGCAAGAATTTCATCCTCATACATTCGAATATTATCTAATTTTTTAAAAGGAATCCACTCAATCACATTCTCATATTCCGTAGTTTTAAGCTGTAATTCTTTAATGAAATCATCAATATTTTTATTTCCACTTGTCCATCCTTGGGCTGTTCTCTGAGGGTCACATCTCTGACACCAAGCTTTAGAAGTGTTGTAATTGTTACAATACACGCATATATTATTTCTCATTCTCTTTCAAATTATCGTTATAAGTACTATAAACTTGAAATTAATATAAGTGAACTTAAAAATTATAACCTGATTTGGGGAGGCTAAACCGTATTTATAATAGTAATAAAAAAAATTAATTTAACGTTAGGTGTAACCTGCCGCCTCGTTCACGGTTTTTAATGCATACGGGTATAATTTTTTTATTAAAAATTAAATAATAATATTTAAATTTATTTGCATAAACTAGTTTCGTGTAACATTACATAATCAACAAATATTTTTTTGCTTTTTTTTTAGATGCTCTTTTGATTTATTGGACATGCAACGATTAATATCATGAAATTTATTTAGCCAGTCAAATTTTGTGATACTTATCATTGCATGATGTCATCGTGCAATTATTATGGCCATCAAAATCAGTACGTAATACTCAGATCTTGTAACCCAGCACATTTCTATAACATTATATGGGTGCTGCCAAGTGAAAGCCTGACATTCTAAAAACAGTATAATCCATTAGTTAAAACCTCGCATTCCGTTGTTCATAGAAATCTATTTTTAGAAGAAAAACACTGCACGTAGGGGGAATTGTCCGCACATGTGATTCCGGACCTCTGATCGATCTTTGATCCGATCATCAATCATCATACGGTCATATCGATATTACTTATACATTTCATTTAATTAATCAAGCGAAAAAAAAATATTTTTCATTTAATAAATCAATTGAGACATATTTATTTACTTCTATTTTGTAAATTTAAGCATACTTTTGCTGTTCATAGTATTATTTTCTTTTTTCATATGGATTACTGTACTACTTGCAATAATTACTTTTCCGCAGAAGCCTTTATTTATAAAGGCAAAATTAATAAAACTTGTTCCAATTGCTTAGACACAAGGTCAAAAAAGAGAAAATTAAAAAAACAATCTTTATCCAATAATATTGAGTATGAAAATAATGAATTGGTTTATGATCGTGTTTCTTTTACTAAAATCGTTGAGTATATTTCTAACAAGGAAGCTAATCTTGGAGTAAATGATATATTATCTTTCAATCTTTATATCGAACTTGATGATCTTGTGTTGAATACTGCACATCAAGATGCAAAAAATACTGTAAAATTAATAGTAGACGAAATTGAAGGATTTGATGGATATGATTGGGTTTTTACAACTGGACCTGAAATGTCATTACATCACAATGGTGTTGGTTTATTTTACCTTTTATGCTCACAATGTCAAGAACTTGAGCATGAACATAAAGAATCTAATTGAAAAAGAATTGTATGCTTTGATTGTCATAGTAAACTAACAATTCGTATTGATATACTAGTGAAAAAGGCAATAATAAAGTTTCAGCATAATATTCAACATGAGAAACCTATTGATGTAACAACACCATTAGAAGTAAAACATGAGATTATGTAAAACCTTCACTTAGATCCCATACAATTACGAATACATCTTCGCCAAAAATTCAATATTTTACTTACTACTAACAAACAAATACATTATTGGTGGTCAACATATTGTCAATGTTTATATAAATCAGATGATAATCATATAATTTCTACTCGCAACTTTTTTGAAGGGCCTAATACTAAAGGCAATAAGCTTTGTTTTGATTGGAACACTAATATAGTTACAGCTATTGGATTTGTGACTCCTTTATTTTTCAAATTGCTATCATTATCGAGTGTGCACTGTGATGCAACTTACAAAATAGCCAAAGGCCATTTTGAACTCTATGGGATTATTAGAAATTTTGCGTGAACAGGTTTTCCCATAGCTTATCTCACTTTAAATACTACAAAAGCACAAAATAATGAAGAACAATCAGGGTTACAAACAATAGCACTTACTGGTTTTTTTAATTCACTTCGTGATAAAGGATTACAACTATAATACTTTTATACTGACAAAGATTTCTCAGAAATCAATGCTGCAAAGGAAGTGTGGTCTCATGTTGATATACAACTCTGTTTATGGCATATAGAGAAGGTTAGTATTATTATTATTATTTATAATCTTTTTTGGCTATTTATAAATATTTTATAACTTTTATATTTGATATACAATATTATGTACATATATTAAAATTTTGAATATTAATGTTTTTTTTTGTTTAATATATATACTATTGACTATTCTTGTTTATTAATATATAATATGGTAAAGGCTATTAGAGAAAAACTTAAAAGCAATAAACGAATCTATCGTAGTCAATATCAGCCAGATAATGTAATAGTAGAGTTCGATTTTATTGATTCTGCATTTAAACCTGATCTTAAACATATTGAGCCTGAGTACTATGCTATATGTCTATTACATTTACAAGACAAGGTTATTAATATGGTTAGGAAGCATTTTAATATGCATTCAAAAATTCCAATTAATGCTATAGGGCAATTTCTTACAGCTAATAAAATTCGAAGAAATGCAGTTCATGAAATTTATGAATTTTGTTTTGAGAATAAGCTTATTTTACTCTGGGCATATATGTGGTAGTCATGGTAAAAATAACAAGATGGGTGCTCTGGGCCTGTTTGGTACGAATTACAATTCCATCATGTAAAACTAACATGCTTGTTGAATCCCATTGGAGGGTTCTTAAGCATTGTTATCTTTACAGATTCAATAGACCACCTTTTTTGGATTATTTGTACACGTGTTGTTCCTGATCAAATTATTCAATTTAATCAAATACATTTAGAACGAATAGCACCCTCTTGGTTTAATGAATTCAAAAATAATTGGAAACAACTTATAATGAGACCAATTTCTGGTAGTGATGGAAAACGTTATTTTGTAGACTTAAATCGTTGAATTTGTAGTTGTCATACATTTCTTTGTAGCCGATTTTTTCTTTATAAGCACCTGGTTCATTATGCTGTTAATAAAGTAAGATTAACTGATTCACAAGATATTTAATTACTATACAAAAATTTTCAGCGATGTGAAGATTATCTCTTTCTTGTATATAACATCAAAAATTTACAAAGTATATTTGAAAAAATAAGTATGCCTCAGTCTTCAATTTCATAGTCTGAAATTTTGAGTAGTGAGTTTTTTGAAACAGATGAAGATAGTAATATTTCCAACTTAGATACATGGCATGTTTGTGAGCTTAAAGTAGCAGCTGTGTGATGTATAGCAGAACACCTTGAACAAGAACTTGCAGCCAAGAGTTGTTAATAATTTAGACCATCTATTTACGATGCTGGATGACATTGAAACAACACAGCATAGATGGCTATGAAGTCAAACATGGTGTGGATCAAAACCATGGACTTTATTTTTACAATAAAATATAAGAACTGTGAACTTATTTTTTGCAATAAAAAAAACAAAAAATATAGACTTTGCTTTCACAATAAAACGTATAAGATTCTTTATATTTTATATTATTTAAGGTTATGTGTAGTTGGATCTTGCTATTGTAGTTTATAAAACACAATAAACTTTGTTAAAGGTTTTTTTTAGCTTTTAGTAAAATTACCTAAGTCTTTTAACAATAATGCAGCCAGTTTAGTAACTTTATATATAGAACAATGTATTATTATAAAATTCATTATTATTTTTTAACACATAATTAGTGCATATACTTAACACATATCGATATCAATATGGATATTCTAAGTTCCATTTTCCGGACTAATCAGACTAAAGATGATGATCGGATGATCACATGTGCGGAAAATTCCCCCTACATCCTGATGCTGTTATTTTTAGAATGTCAGGTTTTCACCAATATGGATATATAACAATAAAAACTTTTATTAAGATATTATAGTGATTTACAATTTTTATCATAAAAATTTTATTAAAATGCTATAATGATCAAATTTAACATTTTAATTATAAAAGATTTCTATAGTATAAAATAAACACCAATGTCATTTAAAACTATATAGTGAGTTTTGTTATCTAACTTTATATACTATAACATGTAATATTTATAATTTTAAATTTATTTTCAATAAAAGTATTCTTATTTTGTTTATTCCAAGTTTTGAAAGGTTTTTTGCTTGGTTCAGATTTTTATGTTATCTACCATCTTTTGAATCAGTTTGAAGTTTGATTCAATGTTTTTCAATCATTCTCTTTATTGTGAAAAGTTATAAGACCTTTCAAGAAGGTCAAGCATCTATATTAAAGGTGCTTGATTAAACTCATATGATCCGATAAAACTATATAGTTTTATCGATTTGTCAATAATAAAATATGAGTTTCACAATTTGTCAATGACAAAATAATTTTATCAGGTATTTATAGTTAATAGTAGAGTAATATTGAATATTACTTTTATTATCTTATATATACATAGTTAAGTTGATAAAAATAATAAATAAATTATACCTTATGAAGAGTTTTTTATGCTAACCAATAATTTTTAATTCTGTTTCATCATCATCTTTTATAATATTATCATTATCAAAAACAATTTAATTAATTGTTATAATTAAAGAAATTATATGTGATCAGACGATATGTAATATGTTCTTTTATCATTTTTCAATTTTTCAATTGTTAGAATATTTGAATTTTGCCTTACAATTTCAGTTGCTATTAAGCTTGTATGTGATTTATTAATGTATTCCCTAATTTGTTACAATTTGAAAGATTTATATCCATTAATATAAGGTTATTGTAAACTATGTCTTCAAGCTCTTCAGATTCTATAGTATTCTCTTGCATTTCATGAAGATCCATATTCTGTTCTTGAAGTTTTCATTTTTTTTCTTTATTTATACAGATTAAACATTCAATACATATATATTTTTTTATTTTCAAATTCATTAATTTGGTTATTTTTCAACAAAATTATCATTTTTTTTGATTTTATTGGATTGAATAATCAGCTTCTCACTAAGACAAGAAAATTTTAAACAATCATTGTAACAATACTATATTATAAACAGATATCGTCATAAATGGCTAATATACAATTGGTTCATTAATTTTCGGAAGATGACTTTAAACAGCGATAATTCGAGATTTTAGTGCATAAGTAATAATTTAAAGATATTGCGAGTCAGAACACAAAATCTATGGTAAAATGCCGGAGATTTCCGTTTCGTCATGACAATTTCCGCCTTGACTTTTCATCAGTAGGAAAATTTCCGAATATGATATCATATATATGTATGCATATAAATATTAATAAATATTACAATATCTTTATTAAAAACCTGCTACATCTGGCTGAGTTTTCCAAGTTCCGGTTAAAATAAATACCACCGGAAAAAAAGCAGCTTCCGGCATTCGGAAATTTTGTGCCCTGTTGCGAGTATTTGTCATCCTATTGGTGCATTTCTATGAGTCCTACTGAATCTTTCCCCAAATTTAATTTGATCGTTTATGCGATAATGTAAATTATTGGAATGAAATATAAACATAAATGAATTAAATTGCGCAACTGTATTTTGATTTGTTTATTGTTTTCTTAGTTATAAATCGCTTATTAATGCTTATTAAGCCGCTTATGAAATCGCTATAAAACGTATAAATCATTCGAGTTTAATTCAATTATAATAATGATTAATCAACGTCGTAACCAAATGTAACCATTAATTTATGTCATAGCTATGATTAACTCCGTAGCCAAAAAATCTTTTTGATTTTAAAACCTTTGTAGGAAGATTTTCATATGGTTAGCTGTTTAAGTCTACTTAATTTTACATTATTTATGCAGGGTAAAGTACTTGTTTATTAGAGTTGTAGGACTCCACTATTGAAAATGATCAAAATTCCTTTTTTTTTAGAATAGTTAGCATGATAATAACCTAGTTCTATCTATTTTTAAGAAATCGTTAGTATGCCAATTTTTCTCTAAAACAAAAGGCATTTCGATTATTTTCAATAGCGAATCCCTACAACTAGTGATGTGCAATTCATATAATACCCGAATTTTTTTCACGTACAGTACGTATACGTAGTACTTACAGTGCATATCTAGCGATTTGATTGGCTGGTAGAAAGGATCAGGGCATACAGTACGTTTAGTAATGTACGTGGCACATCTCTACCTACAACCCTAATAAAACTTTCTGTATACTTATTTTAATTCATCTTTAAAGTTTATTTGTTTTAAAAAGTATTTTAACTAGTATAAATAATGTAAAATTAAGGATACGCCTAACAGCTGTACACCATACTAACGATATGTCATAATAAGGGGCAGTTCACAATAAAATTTGCAACAAATTGTTTTTTGTATTAAAACTTTTTATTGTATATCCCCGTAGGCCATATGTCAATTATAGGAATTGGCTATAAAAAATAGATTAATTCACAATGATTCATAAACTGAAAAGGATTTACAGCTGTTTCATAAATTCAGGAATGGTAACTTATAACATCGTCTCAGGTAGCTTATCGAGTCGGTCAGAATTTATGAAAGCAATTGTAATTGAATCAATTTCTAAATCAAAATTAAAGTGTAACTCACTATTAATAAAGTATATATGCGACTGTTATAGTGTAATATTTTTATTTATAATCTTCACAATATTTCGGATCTGTTTTATGGGTAAGAAGCCGAGTTTATTTATTATATTATGCATGTATATACCAATATAATCATGTTATAGCGTACGACCAGTGCGCAACAGTATGTACATAATAGGAAGATAGATTTCTCACTATAAACCTTTGCTATATATTTTAATTAATTTAACTTGACCGTTTACAGGTGTACAAAACTATGTGCGTACATACATCCATTTATAGAAAATTACATCTTTTTATCGCTTTCGGGCAAACTTTTATTCCTGATTGAACTAAATAAACACAATATATCTGACTTCAAAATTTTGATACCACAGCATGAAGTCAAACAATTGAATACGGCACACCAGTGTTGTGTATGTATTGTTATTTGCACAAAATTCTCAACAGGCTGGGCAAATTGCGCAAAAATTAGAATAGCTTTACGTATAAACCATTTTGTTTACATAGCATATTTGTGTTTCACCTCCAGTTAGGATAACCTACCTGACAGTATAACTTATATTATCTTACATTATAAGTTACATGCTTTCTCATGTAAATTACAGATATGTAGTGCTAAAGTTGACACGAGTTATAAAATGTTTGTCAGCATTAAGGTGAAGTTATACTAAATAAATTAATGTTGGCATATTAAATTAAAATATATTAAATTATTCAAAAGATCAATATTTATATTCTGAAAGCTTGATATAGCCAGACAATTTTTTATTAATACGTTCTTGTGTCTTATATTTTATGATGATGAAAAGAATTTTATTGGTATTAAGTTCTGCAAATTTCCGCTGTACTATAGAACATGAAATAATCTAACGCCAAAGTACGAACATAAAAATTTATTCCGAAATGGATTTTTTTTAATAAGATAATTTACGTAAGTTGCCCTCAAAAATTACGTAAGTTAGAATAATTACGTAAGCATTTCTGCACTTATTGACAGTGCATAAGATCTATCGTAAAATACCGGAGACTCCGATTAAGAAAAACTCCGGTGTAATGTTTTACAAACCAGAAATTTTCCGTTACTTGTACAATGTCGTCACTCAAACCTGGGAACGGAAAATAGTTTTCAGATAGCGATAGAGTTGCAGTAGTTGCAGTGAACTTAAATTGCCACCAAATCACGTACATGAACAAGGAACCGGTGATCATCACATCACGTGAAGTCGTGCAATTACATCATTTGCTTACTAGCACGAAACAAATCGGCCTAAATTATACCATCACCTAATCCTAACTT